TGCTTTTTAAGCCAGCAGCAGTATTTGGAAATCAGTTCTTTGACACGCAGGAAGCCAGTGTAAAGACTTCAGAACTGGACTGATCCACTTTCTTAGTGTTAGTGAGGAACCAGTGTAAAGACTTCAGAACTGGACTGATCCACTTTCTTAGTGTTAGTGAGGAACCAGTGTAAAGACTTCAGAACTGGACTGATCCACTTTCTTAGTGTTAGTGAGGAACCAGTGTAAGGACTTCAGAACTGGACTGATCCACTTTCTTAGTGTTAGTGAGGAACCAGTGTAAGGACTTCAGAACTGGACTGATCCACTTTCTTAGTGTTAGTGAGGAACCAGTGTAAAGACTTCAGAACTGGACTGATCCACTTTCTTAGTGTTAGTGAGGAACCAGTGTAAAGACTTCAGAACTGGACTGATCCACTTTCTTAGTGTTAGTGAGGAACCAGTGTAAAGACTTCAGAACTGGACTGATCCACTTTCTTAGTGTTAGTGAGGAACCAGTGTAAAGACTTCAGAACTGGACTGATCCACTTTCTTAGTGTTAGTGAGGAACCAGTGTAAAGACTTCAGAACTGGACTGATCCACTTTCTTAGTGTTAGTGAGGAACCAGTGTAAAGACTTCAGAACTGGACTGATCCACTTTCTTAGTGTTAGTGAGGAACCAGTGTAAAGACATCAGAACTGGACTGATCCACTTTCTTAGTGTTAGTGAGGAACCAGTGTAAGGACTTCAGAACTGGACTGATCCACTTTCTTAGTGTTAGTGAGGAACCAGTGTAAAGACTTCAGAACTGGACTGATCCACTTTCTTAGTGTTAGTGAGGAACCAGTGTAAGGACTTCAGAACTGGACTGATCCACTTTCTTAGTGTTAGTGAGGAACCAGTGTAAGGACTTCAGAACTGGACTGATCCACTTTCTTAGTGTTAGTGAGGAACCAGTGTAAAGACTTCAGAACTGGACTGATCCACTTTCTTAGTGTTAGTGAGGAACCAGTGTAAAACTTCAGAACTGGACTGATCCACTTTCTTAGTGTTAGTGAGGAACCAGTGTAAAGACTTCAGAACTGGACTGATCCACTTTCTTAGTGTTAGTGAGGAACCAGTGTAAAGACTTCAGAACTGGACTGATCCACTTTCTTAGTGTTAGTGAGGAACCAGTGTAAAGACTTCAGAACTGGACTGATCCACTTTCTTAGTGTTAGTGAGGAACCAGTGTAAAGACTTCAGAACTGGACTGATCCACTTTCTTAGTGTTAGTGAGGAACCAGTGTAAAGACTTCAGAACTGGACTGATCCACTTTCTTAGTGTTAGTGAGGAACCAGTGTAAAGACTTCAGAACTGGACTGATCCACTTTCTTAGTGTTAGTGAGGAACCAGTGTAAAGACTTCAGAACTGGACTGATCCACTTTCTTAGTGTTAGTGAGGAACCAGTGTAAAGACTTCAGAACTGGACTGATCCACTTTCTTAGTGTTAGTGAGGAACCAGTGTAAAGACTTCAGAACTGGACTGATCCACTTTCTTAGTGTTAGTGAGGAACCAGTGTAAAGACTTCAGAACTGGACTGATCCACTTTCTTAGTGTTAGTGAGGAACCAGTGTAAAGACTTCAGAACTGGACTGATCCACTTTCTTAGTGTCAGTGAGGAACCAGTGTAAAGACTTCAGAACTGGACTAATCCACTTTATTAGTCTTAGTGAGGAACCAGTGTAAAGACTTCAGAACTGGACTGATCCACTTTCTTAGTGTTAGTGAGGAACCAGTGTAAAGACTTCAGAACTGGACTGATCCACTTTCTTAGTGTTAGTGAGGAACCAGTGTAAAGACTTCAGAACTGGACTGATCCACTTTCTTAGTGTTAGTGAGGAACCAGTGTAAAGACTTCAGAACTGGACTGATCCACTTTCTTAGTGTTAGTGAGGAACCAGTGTAAAGACTTCAGAACAGGACTGATCCACTTTCTTAGTGTTAGTGAGGAACCAGTGTAAAGACTTCAGAACTGGACTGATCCACTTTCTTAGTGTTAGTGAGGAACCAGTGTAAAGACTTCAGAACTGGACTGATCCACTTTCTTAGTGTCAGTGAGGAACCAGTGTAAAGACTTCAGAACTGGACTGATCCACTTTCTTAGTGTTAGTGAGGAACCAGTGTAAAGACTTCAGAACAGGACTGATCCACTTTCTTAGTGTTAGTGAGGAACCAGTGTAAAGACTTCAGAACTGGACTGATCCACTTTCTTAGTGTTAGTGAGGAACCAGTGTAAAGACTTCAGAACTGGACTGATCCACTTTCTTAGTGTCAGTGAGGAACCAGTGTAAAGACTTCAGAACTGGACTGATCCACTTTCTTAGTGTTAGTGAGGAACCAGTGTAAAGACTTCAGAACTGGACTGATCCACTTTCTTAGTGTTAGTGAGGAGCCAGTGTAAAGACTTCAGAACTGGACTGATCCACTTTCTTAGTGTTAGTGAGGAACCAGTGTAAAGACTTCAGAACTGGACTGATCTACTTTCTTAGTGTTAGTGAGGAACCAGTGTAAAGACTTCAGAACTGGACTGATCCACTTTCTTAGTGTCAGTGAGGAACCAGTGTAAAGACATCAGAACTGAACTGATCCACTTTCTTAGTGTTAGTGAGGACTCGAGCAGCAGCGTTCTGAATTAGCTGCAGCTTTCTAATAGATTTTTTAGTGAGACCTGTAAAGACACTATTACAGTAGTCCAGTCTACTGAAGATAAAAGCATGGACAAGTTTTTCCAAATCCTGCTTTGCTTCTTTAGGTGATAGTAGGCTGACTTAGTAACTGTTTTAATGTGACTGTTGAAACTCAGGTCAGAGTCCATGACTACACCTAGATTTCTGGCTCTATCTGTTGTTTTGAACATTGCAGACTGAAGCTCAGCGCTAACTTTTATTCGTTCTGCCTTGGCTCCAAAAATCATTACCTCAGTTTTATCTTTGTTTAATTGGAGAAAGTTCTGACACATCCAGTCATTGATTTGTTCAATGCACCTACTCAGTGTTTGAATTGGAGCATAGTCTCCTGGTGAAATGGTTATGTAAATGTTTAATCCGCATAGCTATGGTAACTTCTTTTGTTGTTTTATTATCTGAGCCAGTGGTAGCATGTAGATGTTAAAGAGAAGAGGCCCCAGAGGAGAGAAGTGTGTGCGTCAGCTTGAGAGAGCACAGGTCTGAAACAATCATAATAAAACATGCACTTATTGAACTATATAAATGTTTGTTACCAGGTCCTGAAGCCAAGAAAAAGCCTCTCATGTCGAGGAACTCATTGTCGTATCCATGCCAACCATTTTGCCATGCTGAGGCCTCCCCGGTGTCGTTTTTCCAGTACGGGAGCATGGCCTTGTTCTGAAGACACACAACAAGAACATCAACACAAACACCCATTCATACTGAAGAGAGAACAAAGTAGGGTCAGGTTTGGTGGACTTTTGACGGCTGCCACTAAATGGATCTTACTTTCCAAGGTCAACAAAGGACTCGCTTAAATGGGTCCACGAGGTTTCTCTTGTACACTAACAAAAGTAATGATCACATTTGTTGTTACTTTAATGCATTGTCGGTTAGAGCTCTAACCTGTGTTTAATGCATTTCCTTCCGCATAAAACATCTGCAAAGCTGTTTTTATTTATTCTAAATCCTTTGATTACATCCATGTTGACTAGCTTGCAGTCTTTCTCTTTCCCACCTGTAGATCAGTGGATCAGTGGAGCAGTGAGAAAACAGTGGATCATGCTACCAACCTACACTTGCATTAGATGAATAAGAAACAAAGGATGAAAAGTCTTGATAAACAGTGGATAAGCACGATGCAGCTCTTTTACTCCTTCAGACACGTCTCAACATGCTCTGTCCCCCCTCTCATCTTTGCATTCACCTCAAATGCAGTTTCTCCAATTAAAAAAATCCACAGGTGAAAAGAAGTGAGAACTTTTTCCAAGTGAAAAACAAGTGAAGTTACCTGAATGATGAACCAGCCCGGCTCAGCCACCAGGGTCAGGGGGGCGACGAACCTCCCTCCTTTGAAGTGGAAACGATCAGGGATCTCCTGTCTGCCATAGACTCGCATGTTGTGGACCTGAGACAATGCAGCATGCACCTGGCACATACATACACACGCACGCACACGCACGCGCACGCACACGCACACACACACACACACACACACACACACACACACACACACACACACACACACACACACACACACACACACACACACACACACAGTTAATGTATTTCTGATCTATTGAGGTTGGCTGCAGGAGTCTCTCCGAGGTTGGGGGAGGCAGTATCTATGAATATACACTTAATAGTCCTACAGAGGGGAAATGTACGTTCTGCATTTGATCATAGTGTTAGGAGCAGTGGGCTGCCACTATGTAAGGAACTGTGTCTTGCTCAGGGAAACCTCAGTAGCACTTGGTCTTTCGGGGGGTTATTATTTCTGAGTTGCTGAAATTAAGCAGTTCAAGTATCTCAGGGTCTTGTTCATGAGGGGAGGTGAGATGGAGCCGTCTGGCTTAAGGTGCTACCGAGGTGTCCCTGAGCAAGGCACGGTTCCTTACACTGCTCCTAACACTAGGATGGGTCAAATGCAGAGACCAGTGGGGGGGCAGTTGGGGGGTTGTGGCTCAGTCTGTAAGGACTAGGCCTTTGAACCGAAGGGTTGTCGGTTCATCTCCCTTCGGACCAAAAATACTGAGTGTGGACTGACTGCTGGAGAGGTGCCAGTTCACCTCCTTGGCTCTGCTGAGGTGCCCTTAAGCAGGTTCAAAATGCCAGGCAGCCTCTGGCACCTCTCTATAATGTATGTGTGCAGACTCTTTGGTAAAATGTATCCTCTACTTACAACGTCTCTGTTCACTGGACTCAGCAGCTCCTCTACCTGCAGCCCCCCCCCACAGGCCCTCTGCCAGCCCCTCACTACAGCTGTCATTAGAACATGGGCCCTGCCTGGCCCCTCAGCAGAGAACACAGCCTCACCTCTTGGTACATGTTATCTTGGGGCCACAGACTGACCACCGGCCCTCTGTCCATCATCTTAGCGATGGAGGACATGTTGATGTACTGGTCCAGCTCGATGACCTTCTCCATCCACTTGATCTTCGTCATACCGTGGTCAGAAAACAGGATGATGTTCAGCTGGTTCACCAGGTTCTTCTCCTGGAGGAACATCACAAGCAACAGACTCAGATGAAATGAGACTGCACGACGGGAGCTGTATTTGTGATTCAAATAGGAGGAAATGACTCACTTTTATTTTCCTGTTGAGGGTCTGAATAGCAAGATCCAGTTGTTGCACAGCTGTTCTGACCTGAGGAGAGTCTGGGCCGAAGTGATGGCCCTCCACATCGATTTTCTCATAATATATCGCTGTCATACCCGCCTGGCCTGACCTACACACACACACACACACACACACACACACACACACACACACACACACACACACACACTCTCTTTTACTTTACAATTTTATTTTTTTTATTTTGTTACATGATTGTAAAATCATATTGTTGCTGTCACATTAGAGCTATTGGATGACAGAACCTCTCCTCAGACAATCATTCACTCTGTCCTGCTGTAATTACTGAGGATTTCACAACACCAGCACTTTAGTAGAGCTTTGGCCAGACTGAATGTGTACTGGATAGAGTGAACGCACCTAACTGTCGTTTGACAGAGCCTACAGTACCGTCACGTTTTTTCATGGAGGCTAAGTATAGTTCCTCATGTCTCCCTATGTTTTCACAGACATGGCTGAAATATGTGTATCTCTAAACTCATGAACTCTCTTCTGTCGAGTTAGGCCTGTAAACACCAAGGGCTGATACTAAATGCTGTTTGTTAGGGTCACTCAAAATATAAGCATTGTCTAAACTGTAATAATCAAATGAATTATCATACTTATCTTAATGTATGAAGAGAACCCCAAAAATGCTGTTGAGAAAGGCTATGTCGCAAGCTTGTCATTTTAGTTATTGGTTGACAAATGATGAATGACATTGTTCTTAACTGACGCTTCAATCCCATAGACATGCCTTCAGGAGTCATTTGGGATTTTGAAAACTACTAGAACATTATATAAACACGATTATTTGTGGTTCATGTCCTTTAATGTAGATATGTTGCTGTTTATTGTTTTTCCACCTTTAACGTTTTTGAATGCCTTGAACAAACTGCTGCTACTGTAACTAAATCATTTACCAATTTGGGATCAATCAAGTATCTATCTATCTTTACACTGCTGAGGGGGGGGTCAAACTGCTGAGCCCCTGATTTGCAGATCAGCACCCTGAGCTACAGATTGTTGTAATGCTGGTGGGTAAAACAGAACATGAAGTTATGGTTTCACTTCAGATCTCTACGTCTGATGATTAAAACGTGTGGTTATAAAATGGCTGCCTTATGCTCAGGGCCGTCCCTGGCCAACTTGAGGCCCCACGCAAAGTTATATGATAACGCCCTCTGTTTCGCGAGCGTCGATGGGGGGGGGGGGGGTGCTAGTGGAGCCTCGCAGCGGCAAAACCATGCCGTGCCACACTAATTGCGCTGCTTAAGCGCATAGGTGCGCCGTATTTGCGGCTCAGTTGAGGCTCCCTCCGCAAGATGAGGCCCCCTCCGCAAGATGAGGCCCCCTCCGCGAGGTGAGGCCCCCTCCGCGAGGTGAGGCCCCACACAGTCTGCGTGATCTGGCTGTAGGGAGGGACGGCCCTGCTTATGCTACTTTTTCCAACTTAGAACACTTTTACTGGCATGGCGGTCAAGAGTCAAGCTGAGTGCGCTTTCATGTTTCATTCTGAAAGAAGTCATAGAAATAATCATTCTAAATAAGCAAGGAGTCACAAAGCATCATTTGGTGGTTACCTGATGACATTGAGAGCATTCTCTATAGAGTCTGTGAGGTTTTTCTCCGATGGATCGTAGACGTTTTTCTCACAGAATGATGGACGGACACTCAGGATCTCCACGTCGCAGCCTGAGGACAAGTGAGATCACTGTTATATTTACAAACTGCTTTTAGGGATAGTTGCCTTGCAAACAGTAGCACACTAAAGTTAGTTCTCACAACAACTTCAAACTTTCTCCAACGTTCACACATGTTTAGGCCATAGCAGAATAGTTGGATTCTGTGTGTAGTGATAAGTCTGTCAATTGGAACTATTAGAACCATTTTCTCAAAGCAGGCACAACTTTTAAAAGTAGAAGATGAAAACAATGCAGGAATGTATCTGTTAAGACAGAGAGCATGAGATGCACAACAGAAGAATGCAGCTGAACACTTTGTGTAGATATAAACTAGTAGGTCCTTTGCCTTTTCAGTTTGCAAAATGCCAATGTTCTGTCTCTTCATACAACTTGAGTTCAGGTTCATGTGTGTGCTCACCAGGCCAGTAGTACATGAACACCTTCTTTCCCAGCTTCTGCAGGGTGACCCACAGCGGCTCTGACCCGTCCCACCACAGAGGCATCAGGCTGTCGGGGTTTGTCCCAATCAAAAACTCCTTATTGGAGGATTCGTCCCACATGTAGTTTCCAGTCATCTGATGAATGTCACAGTGACGCCCTGAAAAAAATCATAGATGGATAGAGTTTCAAGAGCCTGATATATAAATGATCATTCCTCTGTGCGGTCCATTGCTTCTAAATCTGGTCAAACCACATGAGTTATCCACACTGTTGCACTGAGGAAAATGTCCCTTCAATACCATGAACATAATTCATAATAATAATAATAAGCTTTATTTGTATAGCACCTTTCATACAAGAAGTGCAGTCCAAAGTGCTTCACAGTAAACAGTTGACATCTCTTAATATGGAGCCTGCATTCTCAAACATAAATCCCCATGCATGCCTTTATCTTTTTTAATCATTTAGATTAAATTATAAATGTTTAATGACAAACATAACAAGAAAGAATGCAATACAGTAGAAAGACAATGCTCACACAAAAAGGATAAGGTGTGGGGAGGTATTACAGTGTTCAATTATGTATTTACATGCATGCAATACACTTGAATTACGATTGAGTTTTCTCCTTACTCCTGTTGGGTTCTCTAGATTAGACTCACAATACTCACCCCAGGCGGCAACATTGATGCCCAGAGTGAACACCATGGGTGCAATAGATTATTTTATTACAAAGGGGAGCTGCAGAGATGATTAGAGTTCAGGAATGACTTTATTGTAACTCATGACCTGTTATCTTCATTTTTCATAACTCTTGTTTTGTCTTGCTAGCTCTGTTATGACTACCAAAACTACAGAAGCAGGTCAACCGGTCGGACTGCTTACTAAAGCTCATGTCGACAGTTTATAATAACTCTCACTACCAGAAGGGTAGAAACTTGTCCACAGTGATATAAGGTCAAATGAAACAACCTTAGTTTAGTTAACCTAGAGACTGAATTTAAGTAACCTGTCAGTGTGCTACTAAGCTATTTAAACTAAAAAGGGCTCTATTATGCTTTTGGGGTTTTCCCTTTCCTGTAGTAGTGTGTTATTTAGGTTGTTGTGCATGGAACTAGTCTACAAAGGCTAAAATCTCAAAGTTCCTCTCCCACACCCCCCCCCTGCGCCAGAAACACCATTGGACTCCTTTGTTTACTTCTGTAACATAGCGATATTACTGCCGTCTAGACGTCTTGTGTCCTATTTGGGTTGCCGTATGTAGTTGTCCAATATGGCGGACCATCTCGCACATGCGCAATGCAAATCGGGTAGTGACAGTAAGTTCACGACGTGTGTTTTAGAGGGTTACATGATACACAAAAGATCAATTAAAGGAGACGTTATTTGGTCAGCCCGTATATCTCTTTCTGATTGAAATAAATAAAAAGTCACTAAGTTGTGTTTTCGTTTATGTGCTGAGGAAGGAGTGGACTTTATAAACCAAGAGAAAGAGTCTCGGTATTAATGTTTAACATTTAGCACTCAGGACTCTATGTCATAAACTTCTAACAGTCTTACATGAGATTAAACATTAACAAATACCAAGCTCATCTCATGACATTAATGTGTGTGTTCATATTAAGTTCACAACTTTATAGTAGTAATGGGTGCTATTTTACTTATATATATACGAACAAACAGCAGGTAAATATCACCTTTAATAAGTCAAGGATCATTTGAATTGACTAGAACTGGGACCGGACAGTTAACTCGGGGAAAAGTAAAGGTGGCGGTGTGTGTGTAATGACTAATAACAACTGGTGTACAGATGTGAGGATTATTTCTTCGGGCTGTTCCGCTCATGTGATTCGGCATCCGGTTGCGTGAAGTGCGCTGCTCGGCTGCGCACCGCGTCTCATTTGCTCCGCCCGTCTTGTGTTTTGTTTTTTGTTTGTTTGTTTTGGGCTAATTCTTTTCTAAACGTTGTTTGTCTGTATGAAACATCCTTTTTGAGAAACCATGCTTTTGATCCTGTGGATTACTTTTGCCTTCTGCGGACCATGTCTGGCCATACAACTTTTCAAAACACACCTGAGCCACAACACGAACAGGTATGGCGAGGAGCCCCGGCCTCTACGCTGCTACAGCCGTGAGGCTATGCTGGAGCTACAATGCGATCGGCCTCCTATACACCAAGCCACCTGTGCTCTTCGTTATTGGATGACATCCCTCGGGAGCTGCTTAGAAACATCAGGAAAAGAGACGAGGAAGGAGGGGAGGCGTTCGGAATCGCCTACGGCGGAGATTCAGCCGGCCACCACTTCCATCCATCATTCTGACAAATCTGCGCTCATTGAGCAACAAAGTGGACACACTAAGGATATACACAATGTACTGTCATGAATTTCGTGAGACCTCTTTACTATGTTTCACAGAAAGTTGGCTACAATCTACGATGCCTGAATCTCTCTTTGAAGTACCCGGATTCACCCTTGTTCGAGCAGACAGGGATGTGAACTCGGGGAAAACCGGAGGAGGCGGTATTTGTGTGTATATTAATGATCTGTGGTGCCGATCATAGTCAGTAAAATGTAAAACCTGTGATCCCAACGTAGAAATTCTCGGCATGACGTTAAGACCCTTCTATCTGCCTAGAGAATTCGGTGTATTTTACTGTTTGTTGTTTACGTGCCTCCCAGCGGCAGAGCGTCACTGGCGGCCGGCTCCATCGCTGACTGTGTTCACGAGCTGCAACTCAGCCACCCCGATGCACCGGCAATAGTGCTCGGGGACATGAACCAATGTCGCCTAGAGACTGTGTTACCTGGGTTCCAACAGTATGTTAAGGATCACACCAGAAAACACAATGTCCTGGACAAATGCTTCGTAAATGTTAAAGGAGCCTATGTGACTAAATGTAGACCACCAATACTGAACTCTGATCATAATGTTGTGAATATCATACCAGTGTATAAGACCAAACTGAAGAGAAGTAAACCGGAAAAGAAAGTAATAAGGACATGGACAAATGAAAGTAGGGAACAGTTGAAAGCCTGTTTGGATTGGACAGATTGGGACATTTTTCAGGAAGGTTCACGAGATGAAATAACTACTGTTACCAATGACTATATCAACTTCTGTGTAGAACTAGTTGTTCCCACTAAAGAAATACAAATCTATCCAAATAATAAATCTTATGTGACTAAGGACATTAAAACCGTTATAAATACCAGGAAAATAGCTTTCAAAAACAAAGACTATGGAGCACTTAAACAGACAGAGAAAGAACTGAAAGTCAAATTGAGGGAATCAAAGAGCACACAGAGAGCTTTTGGAAAATGCTTTTAAAGCCAAAAACCCCCAAAAGGTATGGGACACCATGAAAACCATGACAGGAATGTCATCCTCAGCTAAACCTATTGTGACGAACAATGAATTTTGTTTTGCTAATGAACTAAACACGTTCTTTACCCGTTTCGAGTCACTGGATAATTCTGCAAAGTGCACTGAAATGCTCGAAACCATAATACCTGCTTCCTCTGACAAAATGACCATCAGTGTCGAAGAGGTCAGAAAAACATTTCAGTACACCAACACCAAGAAAGCGGCTGGGCCAGATGGGTGCAGCGGTTTTCTGCTGAAAAACGTTGCTACTGAGCTGGCTCCAGTGTGGCAACCCATCTTTCAGGCTTCTATTGACACGCACACCATCCCTCTGTCATGGAAAACTTCACACATCAAACCGCTGCCCAGAATTCCATGCCCAAAAGAACATAAGGACTACAGACCAATAGCCCTCACATCAGTGATTATGAAATCACTAGAAAGAATTCTGCTCCGATTTCTTATCAGTACAACACAAGACAATCTTGATCCATACCAATGGAGGGGGTTAAGAGCTCGACGAAAACACTCGTGAAAAGTGATGTTTAAAACTCAGTTAATGGGGCTCATTCACTGGCGCTTCCACAAACAACAACCAACATAATTATTACATTCAAATGAAGTACATTATTCAAGTTTACATTAACTTTGGATAATAACACGGGAGAAATGAGCGGAAGCGCTCTCTTTTCCTCTCTCCCCCTCTCTCTCTCCTGACAGCCTGTCAGTATCTCATGCAGCTCACTGATCCAGTAATGAGTGACAGTGAAGAATACATATATGTATAACTAGTTCCAAAGGTAGATAAAATAGCTAAGTGTGTTAGGTCTAACTCTTGTGTGTTTTGCTCCTCTCACCGGTCCGTCACAGCGGGTGGAGCTGCAGGATTTCTGCTTCACACACGTTGCAAACCGCTATTTTATTGTCATTTTCGGACACCGTAAAATACTGCCAGACTGGTGAAGCCATTTTGGCGAGCTTGTTTAGCCGCACACAGAGAAAAGTGTCATGTATGTTACGTCTCGCGATCGGCCTTTTTAGAGAGCACTGATCGATCGGCAGAGAGTGAGTATCGGCCGATATCGATCGCCACGCAAAAACTGCGGCATTTTTACAGCTCCTTATGGGTACTGCAATTTGTGAAGTGCTTTCCTCTGTGGTGAAACTATCAGCACTGCATTACGGAGGAAAGCGGAAGAAAGTCGCCTGGAGTTAAAGAGAGCGGGGCTGCGTTGCGTGCATGGCTTCCTTCTGCAGGTAACGGGGAGACGCGCTCTGGTCTCGTTCAGGATCCGAAAATAAAATAAATATTTTGTACACTTATTCCACTTATTCCTAGTGTGCCACTGGTTACGGTGCCGCGTGCCATTGGTGGCACGCGTGCCAGGGGTTGCCGACCCCTGGTCTAGAGGCAAGAGCTTCGGAGCTATGACGCGGCGTCGCTTACGTCTCTCTTACGTCGAGGCGTGCAGGAAACTAAACCCACCTCCCCTGAACATGGGTCGACTGAAGAGTCTCGTCATGCCTGCCTACAAGCAGTAGCGCTGAGCAAAGTGACTAGAAGGTAACCACACACAAAAAAACACACTTTATAAAGTCAGGCAACACTAACCAGGCTTCGTGTGATTCTGTTTATTTGTACCTTACTTTGACCATCCGTTCGCTGTTATTGATCATTGTGGAGAGCAGGCAGACGTTTTGTTTGTTATTATAGCAGCTATCGGATGGAATCAATACATGGGCTGCACAGGTTGTCATGTCCGACTATCACAAGTAGAATCATAATGAAAA